TTGTTCTACACCATATTTTTAAGCACATGGTTTTCGACATTCATGTGCTCCAACCATGTTGCACTGGATTATGTGCAATTGTAATTGTTGAGTTGTTGTCACAATGAAGAACATAAAGCTAAATTTGTTGACAACCTATATTAGTAAACATTTTGCAAATCTATGTTGAATGACTAGTTGCTTCAATTATTGCAATATATTCGGCCTTAGCTGTTAATTGAGCCACCACATCCTACTTTCAAGAAATCCATGAAAAAGCTGCAGAACCAAAATTAAAGACAAATCCAACAGTGCTTTTAGCATCTTCAAAACATCCAGCCTAACCACACCTTCAAGAACACAAACATTGCTCTTCTTAAACATAAGGCCATAATCTACAGCTCCCTTCAATTATCTAAGAACTCTTTTGGTTGCATTATAATGAATTAGACTTAGAGAATGCATAAATCTCAAAATGAGGGTAGCAAAGAACATAAGATCAAGTCTCATTGTAGTTAAAGATAAAATACTTCCTACCAGACTTTTAAAAATTAAAGCATCAACTTTATTACTTCCATCATCATTCATTAGTTTTCCATTTTGCACAACTAGAGTATCAAAAAACTTGCACATCTCCATGTTGAATTTCTTCAGGACATCAAGAGCATACTTTTGTTGTGAAACAAAAATCCTATCATTCATCTAAGTTATGCCTATGCCAAGAAAGTAGCTCATTTGTCCCAAATAAGACATTTTGAATTCCTTCATCCTTTCAAACTTAAAATGTTGCAATAATCGTAAGTTACTTCCAGTTATTAAAAGATCAACAACATACAAAAAAAAAAAAAAAACCAACAACTTAGCATCAAGATTAGCAATTATTTGAGTAGAAAACTGACCTTTAGAGACTTTCACGTAAAGAGTTGGCTCATTCTTACTTTGAAAAAAACCTTGCTATTGTAGAAATAAGTCAGCTCTACTATACCATGATCTAGGAGCTTGTTCAAGCCCATAAAGAGCCTTTTTTAGCTTGTAAACCTTCTCCTCCTATCCAGAAATTACAAAGCCTTCTGGTTGTTCAAAAAAGATATCCTCGTGCAAATAACCATTAAAAAAAACTGATTTATCATCCATATGGTACAGCTACCAACCCATACATGCAAATAAGGCTAGTAACAATCTAATTGTATTGTGTCTAATAACTAGAGGAAAAGTGTCACCATTGTTAACCATTGGTTGTTGAGCATATCCCTTCACTACAAGCTTGGCCTTGTGCTTATGAATTGAGCCATCTGGGTTCATTTTAGTTCTATGAACCCATTTGACCCCTATCACCTACTTCCCTTTTGGTTTAAAAGTAAATTCCCAAGTGCCATTCTTATTAATCATGTCTATCTCATCTTGTATTGCTTGAATCTAGACTTCATGTTGAGAAGCTTCAAAATAAGTACCTGGTTCTAACTTCACCATATTACACTTCTCATAAATATTTAACAACTTTATGGTTTTCAATACAAGAGTATCTTGATAAGTATCAATACCAAAAACTTCTAATTAAATCATCGAATGAATTTTGATCAGCCTTTTTGGAAGCTTCCACATCATCATTTGCAAGAGTAGCCTTAACAACTTCCTTCTTATTCTAGTCTCAGTTTGCATTCTCATCAAATTGTGCATCTCTATGAATAGTTACTTTCCTAGTTGCCAAGTTATCAACTCTATAGCTTTTGGATTGTATAGATACCCCACAAATATATCAAGTTTTACCTTTACATCTAGCTTGGTTCTCTTAATAGATGGCACATGACAATAACATATTGAACCAAAAACCTTTAAATGATTGGCAAAAGGTTTAAGGCCATAACAATCTTCAATTGGAGTCACTCATTCCATGGCTTTTGTAGGGAGTCCATTTAGCAAATATACTATCGTATTCACAGCCTTAGCACAAAAGTTCATTAGCAATTTCTTCTCATATAACATGCATCTTGCCATTTCCATAATAGTCCTGTTCTTCCTTTTAGTAACCTCATTTTGTTGTGGAGTGTATGGGATTGTCAATTGATGAGCTATACTAGTATCTTCACAAAACTTATCAAATGTAGAGGAGGTACACTCCTTACCATTGTCCAACTTGAGAGTCTTGATCTAACATCCACTTCGCTTTTCAACAAGGGCTGTAAATTTATTGAGCACAAAGAAGAGTTGAGATTTGTTACTCAATAAATAAGCCCATATCATTCTAGTAAAATGATCAATGAGTAGCAAAAAATAAACATTCTAGCTAAGAGATGTCATCTTCATTGGCCCACAAACATCTGTGTGCACTAGCACAAGCTTGTGCTTAGCTCTCCATGACAAATTCATAAGAAAGGACTGTCTATGCAACTTTCCATATTGACAGCTCCTAGAAACATTATCATTCAAATAAATCTCAGACATTTGTCTAACTAATTCAAATAGATTGTGTGAATTTTAAAGTCTTGAATTAAAATGTCTGTATCTTTTATGCCATAAATCAATGTTGTCAACTTTAGAAACATAAACAGATTGTATAAGAGACTTCCAAAGTAATGGATAACAATTATCAATCATATCAACTCTAGCCAATTCAACACCAATAGGATTACAAATGTGACAGTAATCATGCATAAATGATATTAAATAACTGTTCCTCAACATCTAGGCCACACTAATCAAATTCTGGCTCAAAAAAGGTATGTAAAGAACATTATAGATGTATTTTGTACGTTTCTTGGATTGAATAGCCACTGTGCCTCTTCTGTTTGATTGAACCATATAATCATTGCCCAACTTGACCTTAATCTTCATTGAACTGTCCAGCTCTATAAAAAGGTCCTTGTCTTTCACCATATGACTAGTGTAGCCATTATCAACAAGCCATGATTGCTTGTTAATAGAGGAGTGATCATGTAAGGCCATAAACAGATGATCTTCACCATGATCATCAGTGAAATGGGCTTGCTAAGTTTTTTATTTTAGCCTATACTAATTTTTCTTGGCTTTGCAATTTCTTTGAATGTGACTAAGCTTCTTGCAAAACTTGCACTATACCTGAGGCTTTTCCTTATACCAACAATCTTTTTCTTTATGAGTTGGCTTCCCTATGAGGCTGCCTTCTTTCATAACCAACAACATGTTGCTTTTCCATAGCCTGGAATGCACTTTCAGCTATATCTTCAGCTCTTAGGACAGCCTATTGTTCATGAGCTTGCAACTTACCAATTCATTCGACAACTATCAACTTCATTAAGTCACAAGACTCCTTAATTTTAGAGAATTTTTACTTGAACTTGTTAGGAAGGCTCACAAACATTTTTTCCACAACCAAGGCATTAGGAAAGTCCTCACCATTTAATTTGATTTTATTAACTAGATCCATCACCTTTGAAGAATACTAATGAACAATCTCTATATCCTTCATCTTCAACACAACAAACTCTCTTTTGAGAGTAACCATGTTTTGGCCCTTTACCCTTTCATCTCCTTTGTATTCCTTCTTCAAAGTTTCCCATGCAGCTTGAGTTGCCTTAACTCTCATAATTCTAGAAAAAATTTCGTCAGAAACCCAACTTTGTATGAAAGACAAAGCTTTGTAGGATCCTGCAACATAATCTGCATGGTTCTTGATCTAAGCCAAACTTGGATTCTAGGGTAATAGTGGAGGATTAAAGCCTTTTTCTACAAATTCCCACACATCATTACCTCTTAAGAAGGTCTTCATCTTGATGGCCTAGACATTGTAGTTTTTGCCAGTGAACAATGGAGGATTAGAAAGAGAGCTTCCATGGTTGTTTGAAGACATAGCTGTGCTTTTTGATTACACAACACACTCCCTCACATACACCTGAGTTTGCACTCTCTCATAGGTCCCTCAAGAATAAAGCTTTGATACCATTTTAATGGAGATCAAAAGAAGATAAGCATAGAAAACTCATTGGAAGAGGAAAAATAGATAAGAGAAATTGAAGGAAAACATGGAAGACATAACCATACGTCTTCATTTAATATCATTTACTGAAAAATGGAGCTTGCTTCTTACATTGTACAAACTTGAGTAGTTTTGACCACTATCTACCAAAATACAAAAAGACAAATTACATCACATGGCTCTAATACATTTAACATAATTAAAATATTAACTACGGAGTATCTAAGTAAAATTCACTCTTCCATCAATTTCTTCTAGTTCACACGTTTAGATCTTCTTTAGTTGTAAACGTGGTCTTCCCATTAAGTAGTGGCACTTCCATTTTTGACTTCTAAATTTCTAATAGTGTCATTAAATTAAATTCCATTCACACCAAAATTATTGGTTTTGATTGACTTGATTTCTATTAATTATAAGAGACAAGAAAAAATAAGGACATTCTAACATTTTTAATCACAATTATTTTTCTAATTGGTTCTATGATCCACTAGTTTGTATGAAGTTTGATCCAAGGGAGGTAAATTGGAAATTTTGATTTTCTTTTATGTCTATTCTTGAACCTGCTTTCTTTCTCCTCCCATAAGTTTTGAAGGATCAAATTATGCCAGATTTTCTGACAAGATTTTACTGTGGTGTAAGTGTGTAGAATCAGATATGTATTGCTTTTCATTTGTTAGGTATGGATTAACGACTTTTGATAACTTTAGTGTAGTCCTTTGCCCAATTCATGGATTATGCATTGCAGTTCTTTTTTATACAAAGTGGCTGCTTGACTTGAACAATAGGGCATTTCTCTTGGAAAATTACTAACACGACACAACTCATTCTATATACTTCATATCAGATTAGCAATTACGTACACAAGGTATCCAATTTAAACCACAAGTATTTCACAGGATGAAATTGGCCAGCTTCACTATCATTTCCCATTTCCTCCTCTGCTGCATCATGTTCTTTTCCCCATACTTCAATAACCCATTTGTCTCCGGAAAAAGGCCTTCATCAACATGCTCTGGTCTTTACTCTCTCTCCTAGTCTCTTATACAATACTTCTTTCAGTTAATTAATAGGCACTAACAGCCTGCAATTTCAGGTTCTGAACATGAGCATGCTGGTTCATCGATATGGACCCTGCTCGCCACTTGGTCAAGAGAAATCAGATGTTGTTTCTGCCCAAATTCTTCTTCAAGACTAACGACGGGTCCGATCCATCAATACTTTAGCGCCCTCCAAATATGTGACTGATGCTCAAGGCAAGGAGACTCATCAACTCCCTATCCCGGACAAAGGTCTCATATTCGGTGGTGGGAACTACGTTGTCAAGCTTGGTTTCGGCACTCCTATACGCAATTTCTACTTGACTGTTGACACTGGCAGTGACATAACCTGGATAAGATGTAAACCATGCTCCAGTTGCCTTGGAGGACCGAAAACTACTATTTTTGACCCTAAATCTTCCTCAACTTTTCGCAAAAGCTACTGCAGTTCTTCTGATTGCAGCAAGTCCATCGAATACTTGATACTGCCTATGCTAAAGGATATTGGGCATCCGATTCCCTCACAATATCGCCCGCTGACTCGATCCAAAATTTTAATTTTGTCTGTGTTAACGATACCAACACTTCAAACGTCCGGTTTGCTAGCATTTGGACATAGTGATGATAATTCTCTGGTAACTCGGACTTCGAATGTGTTTTGTCACTGTTTTCCTTCCGAAGATGCAACAGGGTATCTTCTGTTCGGCCCTGAAGCACGTGTAAAATGCCAAGTTGGGAATTTGACACCACTCATAAGCAACCCACCAAAAGACGTTGGCATATATTTCGTGAACTTTGTTGGAATAAGCGTTGTCAACAAAACATTGAAGATTACATCATCTTCAACAGGCACCATGATAGACTCCGGAACTGTAATTACTCGCCTCACCGGACAGTCTATCAACAATTCTCCTCTGTTTTCAGTAAACACATGGAGGAATACGGTCTTACTCGAACCAATGGCTGTGAAATCTTGGACACGTGTTATGAAGACCGGGTACAAATGCGATACCGTGAAATTCCCTACGGTGGTGTTGCATTTTGAGAATTTAGATGTCAACTTGGACAGATCACAAGTTCTTTGGAAAATTTCTTCCGTTTGTTGCTTGGCTTTTGCAGGGAACGAAATTGAGGGCGGTATACCCATCCTTGGTTAACCACCAGCTGCAGAAGCTGAATGTTCTGTATGATATCCAGAGAAGTAAGGTGGGAATTGGGGCCGGTAACTACGGCCAATGATGCCCAGAAAATCACATCGGGACCTGATTAGAATAGAAGTTGTTTTTGCAAGACTTGGGTCAATTTCTGCCGCTTTTTTTTTTTTTTTCAACCTACTTTCCTCTGTTTTGCCTGTTGAAGAAAGATTGGAACAATGATAAATGAAGAAGTCCAATGCATCCTTTCTTTTTTATGATATTTAATAGAAATTCATTACATAACAATTATCAAAAAAATAAAAATAAAATAAAATAAATACATTACATTAATAATCCGTAAGGGCATCCTAAAGATAAACAAAAGCCTTCTCAAAAAGATGATAAAGTTCTTGGTTATGACTGATTTTGGGTCATATTAATCTAAGGTCTAAACACACGAATGGATGATCAGAACTTTATCATCTAATGGCATTTCAATCAAACAAAAGAAATGGTAGCAGCTCCTCTCTAAGTCAATTACATCTTCAGGACTACGAGTAAAATTTACAAAAAAGGCAATAAAGAGGGCCAGAATTTGTGTAAAAAGTTTCCTATTAGTTAGCTCAAAACAATGAGATCAACGGCTCCTCTCCAAGTCCGTTCGCCAGGAAGGATTACAAAAGGCACAAAAGCATTCCACATCAAGAAATGAAAGAAACTCAATATGACCCTATTTACATGATCAAATTAACGGATAACTAATCCAATAAGGATCTAATTCTTTTGTCTTGTCTTCTTCCACGAAGTGAAGTGCTTCATTATCCTCTCAAATCTCTGACATAGAGGACCTGTATATAACATTAGAAAAACATATTCATTTCAATTGCAGGATGGTAACAATTTTTTTGATTTCCCCTTTTTGATGCAAAAAAGAACTCAAGAATAGCAGGCAAAGATATCAAGAAGCAGTATCCAAGAAAAGGATTTGTAAGTTGTGTGAATGGATATGTTTACCTTGAATTGAAATTTCCCACCTCCATATTCTTCCCCATCAAAGATTCCCTGAGTGAAACTAGGCTTAAAGTAAATGAAATTGCTTCAAAGTGGGATTTCACCAAACTTCTCATCCTCAAAGTTAAAAGATTTTATTGAACCTACAGTTTTGCTGTCAGTACAAAGCCAGTGAACCGCTTCTTTCAGGAAAACAGTAGCTGATGACTCAAACGGAAACAGGGGTGTGGGTCCAGTGCTCCTCCATGAATCTTCACCAAGTGTGAATATCTCTGCCTCGCGATCATAAAAATAAGTCATTAGGAGTCGAAACCAATAGATTGACCAATCGAATCACCTTGTATCGG